TCTGATTTGGCAATATATGACGGTAAATAAAAAGGCAGCCGCCGTATCATTATGCGACTGATTAAAAAGCTGTCACTCCCTAATACGCGTTCATTTAGACGCGCGGTTCGTTATAATCAGTGGGGATACTCGCTGAATAATAACTAATAACACACGAAACCGGCAATAAAAGGAGTTAGAAGAGAGCGAGAAAAAATGTATCATCAGAGCGGAGATGGCCTCGGGTTGTTGCTCTTTTTGTGAGTGTGTGTCCGGCAGTCACATCATTAAGACCCGGGCAGCACCAGATTAAAAAGCGAAAGGTGCAATCTTCCCCGTCGGGGTTCACGGTTTCAACAATGCATTGAATTATTATCGATTTTCCTTTTTACATGCATGTGCCTTATTACCCAAGTGTGATTGAACCCGTCTCGCTGACAATAACACATAAATTGCGGCGCATTGACGAGTTTCGTTGAACCTCTCGTGAAATTGACCCTTAATGAATTCGCACTCGGAAAAATATTCTTCGCAACAAATGATGCGCGCATTTCACAAGTTTTGTTCGTCTTAGCGGTTTTTGCGCTTCTACCGTTCAAGGCGCAGACGAAGGGGTGTCGGCATGATTGTGTGCTTTTTCGCATGTTTGCCTGCGCAAGTGTGCCCATCAATTGAGCTTCAAGTGCTCTAATATTGCTCGAAAATCACAGTCCGTTATTTGATACTCTTGAAAATTCTACTGCCTTCAAAATTATTCTACTTAGAAGATTGCGTCTCCCTATGCAGAATTGATCAAATGATCAAATAGAAATGGTTATTCCAGTTGCTTCTGAATAAAAATGTATTGTTAAAAGTATGTTTTATTCTCTAATACCATTACTGAACTATATAGGCTTCAAAGCGTTTGTACAGTTACAATATATATTACGATATATGTAATAAAAAATATATTAACTTTAACAAAAATAGAATTTTAATCGAAAAGTTAAAAGTCAAAATTAAAGCATCTAAATATTAAAATAATAATAATAAATATTAATTGATGCTTATAATTGAATAATTGACTTAAATTTATTTATTCTAATATTTATTGATAAAAACTATTTTAATGCCTTAATTATGAACATCTACTTATCTAGCAGTTCTATTTTTATAAGAAACCCCTGTCTCTCCTCTTTAAAGCGGGTTGCATAAGCATTTAAATTTGAGTTGATGCTAAATGCTTACCGGATCATTTGGCGTCCAACAAAAACTCCGCTTTTAATCCGAGAGGCTTTTTAGAAACGGGCCGTGCCGCTGGAAATTTGGAATTGCCGGTAAATTAACTTAGCCACCAACCAACAAAGCGTTCAAGAGCGCGTTGACCAATGAGCCGTGCTGCCCGGAGCACTATGCGGGTTGAAACAAATTCATCAGAGTTTTTCCGAGACAATCGGCACGGTGTGCATACGCTGTGACAGTTTGCCGTTGTTCGGCGGCAATTAAGGCCGCGTAATCGGCGGCGATTTCGGGCGATAGTCCATGACCAGCCTAATCGAGAGAGACAGACGGCGCGAGAGGCGCTCTCATGCAAACGCATGCAAAGCCGTGACATTCCCACACACTTTTGGCCTGCCTGCAAATCGACAATGGCCGGCTGAAAAGACAATTGCGAGGGCGTGCAATCGCTTCGGACGGCCACCGACGCCGCATCGAATACGCGAAACTCTCTGCGCCCATTGTCAAGAGAGACTTTGGCAGAACAACGGCCAGCACTGTTAATTCAGCTAATTGACATTATTGACGATTGGCACTAATTAGCCTCTTAACTATATCTTTGAAATTGGCAAATGACTTTTATTTTTTTCTGCATCCTATTTTTAGATCCTGCAGAAGGAATTAGGTTGTAACCTTTTTAACTTCGTCTGCTAATGAACCGTTTAAAAACGTTTAAATTTTTTTAATTACTTTAATTTAATGTTCGTTATAAAGGATGAAGTAATTTAACTCCATTTTACAACTTGTTGATTGAAACAAAATTAAAAAGGGAGAAAATTTTTAAACTTTCATTAATAAGCTATTATCTTAAAGATTTCATTAAGAAGAAAAATAGTGAACGGACTAAATAAATTAAGACAAAAGATATATTTTCAACAGGCGAACGTCTTGGAAACGTGGTTGCGGATTCTTTTAATAAAATCCTCCTCAGTCGGCGTGAGAACAAACCGCCTAAAAATGGCTTCTCTCTCACTGTCTCACTCGAGCTCCGAAATATTTCCCTTTGCCTTTTCGCTTCATGAATGATGCAAAAGTGCATTGTTTCCAAATCTGCAGAATTCGCATGGGCGAGCAGCGATCGCGCGTCTCGCCGGAAAATAGACACCAAGCGCGCAATTAGCGAGAGCGGCAAAAGTAGATCAGTGAGCCAAATCAGCAGAGGCAAAAATAATAATGATAAAACAGCACAAAAGTGCGCGATGAGATGTGAAAGTAAATTCTGCGGTGATTTCCATTTTTGCAGCACATCTTATTAAACTGCAGCTCCGACCGCAAAATCGAACAACGGACGCCTTTCTTCTTTGAGTGACGAGCAAGAAGATGAGTTTCTGTTTACAATATAATAATCATTTTCGAAGTCGTTTTCTCATTACGGACGATCGAGAGCGAACTGCTTTTCCTCTCAACGTGTTTACCCAAATTGGTGTCTCGTTTGCCATCCAGAACAAAACGCTTAGTACAAATTATAAGTTTTATTTTTTTAATGTGAAAATCTCAAGGTAGAGTTACAGAAGACACAAACAAATATCAATTACAAGAGATTAAAAAACACAAACTTTCTTGTTAACGGAAATAAGTGTACATAATTTTTCACTTTTCCTTCAATTTCATATAAAAATTTTGTAAATTATGTCAGATTTATATTTTTTAAATTTAAAATAGTGTTTAAAACTAACTGAGGCACGGAACGAAACATAATTCCTTTTCATTTCTTATAATGTTAATGGTTGCATTATTTATTCATGTTATCAAAAAAAGTTGAGTATAAATGATTAAATTATTTGGAAGGGCTTAAAAATATTCATAATTTCCCATTTCTATTGTTTTTTCCTAAGAGTAAAATTATTTTCAATTATTTTAAAATAAGAAATTAGGAGAAAATTTAAATTAGAACGATCATTAAAGAATTTCGTCTGGTTTTGAATAATTAGTATTCACTTGCAAAGTCCAGATTCAAGTGAGCTTGGCCTGAGGTTAAACGCCTCTTATTCTACAAGTTGAAAGAAGCGTTTTCACACCTCCTCATATTATACACATGCAAGTTTGCAGCTTCCCTGGCATGAACGCGCAGACGGTAGCATCCATCCTACTCGCTCCTTTTCAAAAGCCGGCAACTTTTTCAACCTTGGGGGAAAACAATTAAAACACGAGAGATCCGCGGCTCACAAAGTGGCTGCCCGTCTAGAAAGAGAAGCGTCCAAAATCGCCCTTTTTCCGCGCGGAATGCGACCAAAGCAGCACTATTACGTGTACAAGGCAGCAAATTAACTCGGAATTTGAATGGCTCATTCTTGTGACATGCTCTCGATTTATCATCGGCTTGTCAGCGCAGAAGCGTTTGCAGCAAAAAAGCGCCGTTTTCGCACCGCGCGAGATGATAACATAATTTGCGGGCCGGACAAAGATGTGCCACTAGAGCATTACAAATGAGCTCTTGGGCCATTCAAAGAAGGCGATTAATTGCCTGCGCCGACAAAAGGTAACTCCCTTTGTTTGCGGCCGATTAATTTAATGAAAATTATACGGCGAGCTCGTTTTACGCCGAAAATGCCTACAAAGGCGGCACTCGCTAATTAGCACCGAACAATGCGCGCCACCTTGACAAAGAGCGGCCCAATTCCGGTTTCTGACGATTCTGAGCCAGAATTTTGTAAACGGGCGTGAAACTTGGTTAATTAATTGCGCGGGGGCGTTCACCGTCGGTCTTTCTACTCTGTTTGCACTTCAATTGTGGGTCGAACGTAAAAATTAACGCCCACCATCAGAGGCAATAAGTGGCTGAACCACAGTTGAACGTTACTTTAAAATACTTATAATAATTATCAGTTTCAATTTAAAATCAAGAATTAGTCAAAAATAATACCCCGCAAATTATGTGAAACGTATAGAATAATACTTCGTTTTTCAAAAGGTCTAAAAATTTCAAAAATAAATTTGTTGAAAAAAAAGATTTGTTTTAAAACCGTGATGTGATTTTCATGTTGATTCTTTCAAGAGAAATCGCTTCGAAGCTCAATAATTGCACATTGCCGAAACCTTACAAATGGTAATCAATCAAAAAACGCCAATCGCTGAGTTCAGCACACACACAAAAAACGCTGATGCGTGTTCTGCGTAAAAACAGAACGGGTTTTGTTGTTATTATAGGTGTTGCGAAGTTTTCACTTGCGGCCAGGCGCCGGCTGGGGATGAGCGCGTAAAACAATCAAGGTCGTTCGAATGTCGAACGTTGCCCTGTGGCCAATCGAAATTGCATTGCGTCAAGTTCGAGTTTTTTTTTTTAATCCAGAGCGGGTTCATTTTTCTTTTTCAATACCGACTTCCATTACTTTTGGCGACAAGTGAAGAAAATTGAAGTTGATTTATCTTCGTTTTTATGAAACGGCTGAATGATTAAGTGCGCTTTGATTTGAAGAAATGATTGGCTATTAAAATTTATGATGTGTAACTCTCGCGACCGCAGGACTATTTCTATTTGTCCGTGCAGATGCCAATATAACGTAGGATTTAAATTGAATGTGTGCGGACGGTGGAAAAAATTAAATAAAATAAAAAAACTTAGAACGCGGTGTCTGTAAACTTAGCAAAAAATTGGAATCTCATTTGACGGAATCAAAGGATTTTAATTGAATCAAATACTTTAAAAGTAAGGCCAATAAAAATGTCCTAATTATTTAAATTTTAAATTGTTCTTGTGGTTATTTTCTATTAAAATTTGAAACTGCTTAAAAGGGTATTGAAAGTATATATTGAATTAGTCCTACCTTTCGAGATTGATCCTTGGTGGGTATCCTGGACGACGAAGGGTTGCTCGGAGGTTACTTTGGCAGCGATGCGACCTTGCCGAACGCCAGGAGGAATATGAGTCTGCCGGAGATGGCCACAAGCTTTTTGTATGCCGACGTAACGGACGGCGTGAGCAGCAGAGAGATAGAAGGAGTCGACCGACGGCAGGCAGCTCTCGCGCCAACCAACGCTGGGTGGGAGGATGAGAGAAGAAGTGCATCTCCTGGCAAGGGGGATTTAATAACTGGAGCAACTTTCCTTGCGATATGGTATGAATGCCTCTCTGCAATGCTGGGCTCTCTGAAAAGTAAAACTGACACTTTTAATTCAACTCGAGGTTGGAGCGTGTCTTTTTTACTGTTTTATGGTATTTTTCGTATTATTAATGCACTTAATATGAAGTTTTAGGGTTAAATTTGTGATATTCTCTGAATAAATAATTATTTAATTAAAAACTTAAAATAGTGGCTAACAAAATTAATTTTTATCAAATTTCATATCAAAAGCATAATCAGGAGAAATTGTTATTGAATTTTTTTTGCAATAGTTGTCACCAGTGAATTGTACTGCACACTTGTATAATAAATTAAAATAAGACTTATATATGTGAAATAATTAAAAAAAAAAGCTATTTAATTATACAAAAGAATTAAAACTAAAAAAGAATTATAATTTGTAAAAATTATTAATATTTTTATATAACGGAATGGAATAAATTTAAAAAAAGTAATGGTCTTATCTACATCTTCTTGCATTGTTACAAAAGATAATAAAATTCACCAGAGGACTAATTTATGGTATTAAAAATTTGGGAATATGCAAGTTTAAAAATCTCTAGACTCGTCCCGCAAAATTAGGAAATCTAATTAAAATCCTAGGAATCATTTCCAGGCTGTTAACGATTCTCCATTATTGTTGTGAGAGGCACTTTTGTTCAGAATCTGCAAAAAAAAATGATTGAAAATTAAATTTGCATTAAATAGGAAAGCTTTTACAGTCTGTGTATAGTTAATTGATATATTCTAGGTTAATTTCACAGTCTTTATGGTAATGACTAATTATGCAAATAGTATTATACACTTGACTTCAAATAGCGACCATATTAATTTATAACATCGCTTCATAAGAGTTGGAATATCAAATTCCTTGAGCGTGATACAGATCAAGTGCAGCACGGTTATATTTTATTTACGTTTTTAATTTCAAACTCATGCATGCATGCAAAGTTCGCGAAAGTGTTTTTCGCGAGCAAACTCATCACGGATATTTTCACTGGGCGCTCAAAATCAGCCATGTGCAGATTTGTTTATTTATCGCCGTCGCACGAGACTCGCACACGCACTTTTATTTAATTTAGATTAAGTGAGCAATTTGCTGGTCGACGGAGCACACGAAATTTTTATTTATATTTTTTTTACGCACCGCACACTTCGCTGGCAAAGTCGGCGTCAGCTGACGCCGGTCGAGTCTCTCATCACGCGTTTCTTTCTCTTTTGCGAAATTTACTTTCTTTCGTCTCCGGCAACAGCCGATCAAATTAACCTTTGCATCTGGCGGAGAAGAAAGATGAGCAGGCGTTAATTGAGAATAATTTGCTTTCCAAGAAAAAGCGTGTACTGTGGTGTCAAATTTTCATCTCTGCTGCGGATTTCTCTAATATTAATTTTACGAATATGAACAGAGATGTGAAGGAGGAAACAAGTGGAAATTATTATAAAGAATGCTTAAAATCTCCTGATGGTTCAAATTTATGTTAAGAATTCAGTATCTAAATATAATATTTTAATTAAATCAGTTCCGTAATAAATTTGATGTAATACAACATGTTATGGACATAAATGAATCATATTTTTTTTATTGTTTATTCATCCTAATTTTTCATTCACTCACTCCGTTATGTACGCATTAATTTTCACATTTTTGTTTAAATATTTGAAATTTTTACTAACCAGATACTTCATCAGGAGATAATAACTAATTATTTTTTTGTTACCCCTGAGCCCATAGAAAACTTTTAAGTTAATTAAGATTTAAAATTAAATTATGTTTCAATAGATCTAAAATAATTGCTTCATTTATTTGCGGCTAATTTTATTTTCTATTCACTATTCCATCGTCAAATATCAGGCGGTGGTGATTAAAAATTAAAACCAACTTCAATTAAACAAACTAGGCCCATGCCAATTTCAATTCTCGGTCGCATCTTAAGCTAATTTGTTTTGATTCTTCGCAGTGCAGCGCGTGAGAAGGAGCAAGGCTAATTTCCCACAGATTCATTCGTAGCTGAATATGCCGAGCAGAATTATGAGACTTCCTCCTTCGGAACTTCTTTTAACTCTGCGCGCGTTTCTCTTTCTTTCTCTTTTGCCACTGCTCGGCGCATATACATGAATATATCTTCTCTTTAATGCATTTCTTTTCTCATGTGTCTTATTGTTTCTTTTATGAATTAGTGACGAATATCTGGGAATAACATCAGCCTGAGCTTTATCGCTTTGACACATATTCTGCTGCTGGCTATGGGCCGCAAATTTTCTTGTGCGATGAATCTATTTCTCCTTTGTTTGTGCTTTTGTGCACGCAGGAAAAAATGTCACTTGGAAGTCGGTGATACAAATCTGGACAAGAGAACATGCGTGATTATTAAAATTTCTCGTAAAAAGCTGCTACTGTTGCGGCGTTAAAAGAGACAGAGCGCTTTTTAAAGTTCTGTTAATACCGTGCAGAAAATAGGCGCAATTATGTAATTTAATTGCGACTACATGTATGCGAGTACTTCACAGCAGCGGTTAAAATAATCTGTTGGAGTTTCTGGAAATACGCTAAAAGGCACACCATTGTCAACAAATTAGATTAATTTTGTAAATTTTTTTAATTTAATTGTTTTTCTGAGTTTCCTTTTATTGAAAAAAAAAATATAATTTTAGTGACGTTTACCCGAAAAAACTAATATAATAGATACAATTTCTTCTTATTTTTTAAAACTAATAAATTAGTAAATTTACTTTTTTTATCTCAATATCTGAAGCTAGCCTATTTCAATTAAACTCAACCACAGTTTACAATTCTCCTCTGTGCTAAATTATAAATTCTCCTCAAGTTCATATTCTTTCTCTCATACCCTTGTAGGGCAAGCGCGGAAAGGTCCCCGATGCAAATAGATAGAGTCACCGGCGAGAGTCAAAGTGCTCCAGAAATGGTTACGCTTGGCGATCATTAAGATTAATAAAGCACACGGCGCCGCATTGTATGGGTGCATTATTATATGCATCGGAACGAGTTTATTATAATAATTCCGGCTGAGTAAAACTCTCTCGGCGTGCAACGATGGAATAATTGATAAATAGTGCACACTCATCGCATGCGCTTTGGTATAATTACACGACGATGCCCGCCAGATAATGAATACCCACCCGAGCCTGTATTGGACATTTTTATGGCTCAGTACGCCACACACCGGTTCTTTTTAGCTCAATAAACTGACATGGAAAAATGACGAGACTTCTCCGAGATGAATAAAGAAGCAGAGGGGGACACTTCTTTACACTCTCGCATGGGAACAAACAACTTGTTCGGCGCCTTTTATTTCGCATATATGATCGCTTCATCTCTCACACAATGCATCACGCTGCACTTTTTTATTGTTTTATGTCCCCCGCTTCGGAAATTATGCTCAAAAGCGGTGCGTCTCTTTGCGGTTTGCGAGACCCGTTGCGACATGAGGGATTACAGGAAACACATGAAGCGGCTTTTTATTTACAATTCATATCTCTAGAGATTCACAAATTTGATACCACTAGACGTTTAAATGCAATGATATGTGCAGAGATCAAAAAAAGGCTTTTGATTACGATTTTTTCTTCTGAGATTTTCCATTGTGGTAGATCAAATAATTTAAAGACATGATTCAATTTTTCATGTGTTTCATTTCAATGCTTTAAATAAATAAATTTTCATTACTCGTTATGTTTAATTTTAACCGTTCTATATAATTATTGAAAATGAACGCCGTTTTTCTGACATGATCCAAATCTTCTAACATAATTATTTACTTTTGATTTAAATATTGTAATTTAGAATATTGATTTTGCTTGAATTTCAATTTTGGAATAAAGGTTAACTAACACAAACATCCAATTTTAAAAATTGGATAATTTTAATGCAAAAAAAAACTCCTAATCTATCAAATTGATGAAACTTTCCTTCCGAGCTAGAAAGTGCTCGCAGGTCAGCATAGAAAAGGGGGAAAGAATAGCAAACTTAAGCCACACATTATAAATGATTCGTTTGTGTTGAGCACGTGAGTAAACAAAATTCATGACCTAAATACTTAATAGGAATCATTAAATCCATTAGCAGACATACAATTTTGCTCAAATTTCCAGTTGCTGCGAGAGATGCGCGACATAAAACAATTTTCTCAAAAAAGCAAAAGAGTCTCAATGAAAGCGTGCGCACATCTTCCAGTTTTACGGCCGGACGAATTTTTTGCCGCTGCGAGATGTCATTTGTGAGAATTGAAATTGTGTTGCGGTGAACAGACATGTTGCCGTGTCGAGTTCACAGAAATGGCAGGAAAAAATCGAGCAACGACCAAGTAGATGAGAGAATTAATGCTCGTGTCGTCGTTGGTGTAATTCGACAATGCGACCTCAAAAGCAACTCTCTCGCTTTACATTATATCCACCCAAACATTTTTTGTTGTTGCACCGACGCAGGCCCGGCACATGATGAATTAAACGCTCAAAATGTCACGACGGTTCATTTATTTTTGCCGGGCGGTTTCGGGCCAGTGAAATTATTGTTTCCATTATCCACTGCGCGAAACGCAAACCGCGTGTGCACGCCGAGTACAATGCGAATAATAAAAAGAGATAATTTCTAATTCAATCGAGCTCCGAGGGGGCCGAATTTAATTAAAACATCATGCATGAACGGCAAAAAAAGAGGCGCAATTGAATTTTAATCGACTGCCCTATATTATAGTATGCAGAATGGGCGCCGCGCGGTAAAAGCAAATCTAATCATCAAAATCTATACACAGACGCGGAGGTCATTAAATGGCAAACTTTCTTTGCAGCTTGATCTACATATGGAGGGCGCCGAAAGCTCTGGGTTAGGAAAAGCACTATCTTCACA